GGGAACAAGCCCAGATGTCAGCTAGAGGTGCATTATTGAAGCAAAATGCTCTTTTAAATATAGGAAGAAACCAACTTTAAAGAAGCTCTAAATAATGAGAAAAAATACATAGTTTTTTATCAAAATTAAAATTTAGTAGTCAATGAGGATCATGTATACTACTACCAAATACAAGGAGAGTTACACATAACCAACAGAGATATGTGTTATTTAACCCTCCGTTACTCGCGCGGGGTGTTGTGAACACCCCATGCGTATATAACTGTTAATATTTTTTACGCAATAATATCATCGTCGCCGTGCGCCTGTGTAGCTGCATATTTTCGTCGTCTACCACTTGGAAGTACACTGATCAGTGTACTGTTAGTCGTTGTCCCGTAAGCAAGTGCTTGGGGTGCTGCAAACACCCCGCGAGTAGTTAAGTTACATTTTGTTTATCGATATTTATTTTTTGCCGGTAAATATATTTATTTTTTTTTACACATATATGGTAGTCTGAACATGTACTTTGTCTATATAATATTTCCAATATTATTTTTAGGAAAAATGGGCGAATATGAGGCCGAACAAGCGCGATTACTCAAACTTTTTGATGAATGTACGAGCGATGATGAAATACCATCAGAAGAAGAATATCCTTCAGATGAAGAATTGACCTAAATACGAAGTGATTCTGAACCAGATAGTGAGCATGAAGTTATGAATGAATCTTCTAGTGACGAGGACTTGACAAGTGATGACGAACAAGAAGACGGAAATCGTTTTTATCTTGGAAAAGACAAAATCACTAAAGGGTCAAAGAGTCGTGAGCAGGTGAGAACTAGAAGTCATAATCTAATTTCCCATCGACCAGGAACAATAAATATTGCCAGAAACTGTAAGTCTGTTATTGAATGTTTTAATTTGTTTATAACTGAAGACATAATCAAGGAAGTTACAGAAAGTACCAACATATTTATTAATAAACTTTCGGCCAATTACAAACGTAAGAGGGACTGCAAAGAAACCAATGAGACAGAAATTCGTGCTTTAGTTGGATTACTAATATTATCTGGCATTTGTAAATCGAGCCATAGGAATATCAAAGATTTGTGGGATATTTCAAGGATTGGAATTCAAACGTTTTACAAAACTATGAGTTACAACCGTTTTTACTTTCTCATAAAATGTCTAAGGTTTGACAATATAAACACCCGCGAAGAAAGAATATTGCTGGACAAGTTTGCTGCCATTAGAAGTATTTATAATCAGTTCAATAATAATTGCCTCGCAAATTATTCGCTTAGCGAATTCGCCACCATTGATGAACAACTTTTAAATTTTAGGGGTAGATGCTCTTTTCGACAGTATCTACCAAACAAGCCGGCACGATATGGTCTTAAATTTTTCGCTATATGTGATTCCAAGACATTTTATACTTTACAATTTGAACCTTATATTGGAAAGCAGCCAGATGGTCCTTTCCAAGTTAGCTATAAGCCCATTGATATTGTGCAGCGTTTGTGTCGTACCCTCTTCGGTTCAGGAAGAAACATCACAACGGACAACTGGTATACCAGCATACCATTAGCAGAAACATTACTGTCTTATAAATTATCGTTAGTGGGTACAATCAGATAAAACAAAAAAGAGATACTACCATGCTTTGTCACTAATAAGGTTCCTGGACAATCTCTATTCGGATTCCATCAAAAAATACCAATGACTCTCGTTTCATATTGCCCAAAGCAAAATAAAAATGTAATTTTATTATCAACTATGCACATAAATGACAATACTGTAGTTGAAGTTTCTCCAAATATGAATAAGCCTGACATAATATTATTTTATAATAAAACCAAGAGTGGGGTTGATAGTGTAGACCAAAAATGCCAGACATATAATGTATCAAGAACTTGTCGTTGGCCCTTGAGGATATTTTATCATTTGTTAAATAAAGCTGCAATTAATTCCCACATCGTTTATTTCTCTAATAATCCTACTAAAAAAATTCCCAGATCGAAGTTTCTAGAAGAGATTGGATTTACTCTGGTACAACCACAGATGGAAGCTAGGTCACAAATACAATCTATTCCAAACTCTTTGAAAAGAGTCCTAGGTAATGCAGGAACAAACAATGATAATGTACCTATAAAAAAGGTAAGATGCACTATATGTCCACGAGCAAAAGACATTAAATGTAAGAGTGGTTGCAAAAATTGCAATAAAAATATGTGCCTAAGCCATATGAACATAATATGTGATGCATGCTACCGAGGCCAGTAAATTTATTCAAAGTTTGTTTATTGTTCTTTATATATAATAAAAAATTTTTGCTTTCACCTTTTTTACTTTATTTATTTTTTTTTATTTTTGCTCAGTTGTGTGCAATTTTATTCCTAAAATCTTTGTTTATAAAATTCAGCGACTACACATCTAGATTGCAATGTTTGCTGAAATAAATAGTTTTATTTTGTGACAAACTTTTAACATTATATACCTGAAATATAAAAATAGTTTGGATTTTATTACTTTAAACAAAAAGTAAGATAAAATAATGGGGTGCTGCAGACACCCCGCGAGTTGACATGTTCCTGAAATAGGCACGAGTAACGGAGGGTTAATTATTTGGGTCTCCAATGATCATTTAATAGTTAGAATTTCAAGAGATGATCATTGACAAAATAATTTAAATGTTTTACAAACATTTTACTTAAATCACTTTATTATGTTTGTTACTAGTTAGTTTAAAAAAATAAAAGCTAGTTGTTAAAAATGTGTTTTTATCCTTTAAACCTTTATTTTGTACTAAACAAAATAGGTATCGTGACAAATGATGTACTTTAGACTGGGAAGTGGTACTCATCACCACAAAAATATTAACTTTTTATTGTTGTATTTCACATTTGCAATTTTAAGTAGTACAAAGATGCATTTTTTAATAGTGGTTTACAGTTCAATGATAAAAAGAGTGATATTCTAATTCCTTATATTTCCAAGATAAAATTACAGCATAAAACATTACATATTTGTTAAAGCCCCAATTACCTGGAAGACGGCATCGAAGGCCTAGCAATGCACTCAGTCTGTCTAACTTGCTCAGGGGTAAACTGTACAGTTGTTAGAAAGGATGAAATGGTAATTTGGACTCTAGAAGGTACTATATCTTTAATTTAAAATCCTTTGTCTTCTAAAATTAAATTCCCTGCTTCTAAGTGATCTATAATTCCACAATCTTTAACAATTTTTTTAGTCACATGTTGATCCTGGATGTAGGCATGACACAAATATAACTACTCCATTGGAAGCCACACCAACTAATCCTTTATATGTATTTCTATGTTTGTAGGAACTATTTTATTCTATAACTATTTAATAGACGTCATTTTTCGTGTTTTTTATGTTCCATTTTGGATGCAGGTTGGTCCAAATAACATAAGATGCTAGACAGCACACATCCAACATATTCATAAAATATGCGAAAGTCCTACGGTTTGTTCTACATTTGCACATATATTGATGCACCATCTGGTCAAACGAGTCAACTCCACCTTTTGTTTTATTTTAGAAGAGAAAAATCTCTGGTTTATGGTTCACACTTTTCTTAGGCTTAGGCACGTATGATACCAATGTCGCCTTTTTTGTGAATTCAAATGTAGAAGACAATTACTCTTTGTTCTTACATGGTTGAAATTAAGGAGGAATAAACTTTTTATTTTTTTTTTAACTGTGCCAACAATTGTTAAACCATTAGATAGCATATAAGCCATATCTCAGTCCGTAAAATAGTTATCAAATGTTATGTTCCTGTTGGTTCGGTAATAAGGTTGGCTTAGTGATTCTACTACTTTACGTGCCAAACCAGTAGCTACTTGCCCACCATATTTTCATCCCATACTTGTCGGGTTTTGAGGGAATATACTGTTTGAACGGACATCTTCCACGATAAGGTATCAACTGCTCGTCGATTGTTATATTCCGTCCTGGCAAATAATGCTTTTTCAAATTTCCCAATATTTTATCCCATATAGCAGCCAGTTTATCTTTGTTGCGTCTCTCGGATCTTGTCGTTTTGTCGTAGAAACGAATGAAACGCAAAAGCTCTTTGAACCGCTTTATACCCATAGTGGCTCGAAAAATCTGTGGTCCATAAAGTAAATTCCACAAAGCTTCATAACTTGCATAGTTTGATTTTAGATGCCCGGCGGTGAACAGGAGACCAAAGAAAGAAAGCATACATTTCAATTCTATCACAGGACAAGTAAACGTATTCGCAAGCTTTTATTATTGTTTGTTGGCATCTGTTGACATCTTGGCAGCAAGTCACGTGGAGCAGTTTATTTTATAAACATTTTTAATTTTAAAATTAAAAAATGAGTTGTGGAAAAGAGGTAAGCTTATTATCGTATATAATTTATACGACAGAAGATAATATATGTATTTTTTTAGGAAAAACATACAATTTCCCACGAGGAATGTTATTATATAATATCATTATATGAATTATATCCCCAATTTTATGAGGTAACCAACAATGATTACAAAAATAAAACAAAAGATTATTTTCACAAAAATCCATAGCCGAAAATTTTAACCATACATACCCATCGGCCAACGTGGGGTGGATGATATCAGAAAAAAGATAAACAGTCTAAAGAGAAAAAACAAAATAAGGAGCAGCACGACCAGTGGTAGTGGAACAGACCAAGTTTATTGCCCCTCCTTATGGTGTTTTGACAATCTAAAATTCCTGGATGGCAGTAATCCTGTACGTTCAAGTGCGTCCAATCTAATGGAACAAGTAAGTGAGTTTAGAGACCCTGTTAATGAAATAGAAGTACTGTTGATGGGCCTTCGAGTCATTTATTTGAGCTAAACTGAAATGGGCAAGCTTTATCTGAAGGACCAGAGCCATCCAGGAAATTACAAAAAAGAATATTAGAGTCCTCAGATGTTTTACTTGATTCGCCGTCCACAAGACTTTCGTAGAATCAGAGCCAGAATTTTCCGTACAATCTGATATGCCTCAGACTCCTTTAGTATCATCAGAAACTAATTTGGAGGCACCTCAAATTAAACCCAAAAGGAGGAAACTTGTCCCAAAGGCAGATAATAGTAAGGATGTGCATGCTGTAAAAATTATGAAGGCAGCTACAAGATTTTTCGAAAAACATGAAACATATTCTAAATCTGAAGCAAATCTTGTTGATAATTTCATGGTGTAAGTAAAAAAAATTAGTACTTATTTTGTAAATATTTGTATGGTTTTTATGTTTAAACATTTTTGTTGCAATAAATCATGTACATAACTTGAAATAATCTCATATATTGTTACAGACATTTAAGCGCAGAAATACGGCAAATTAAAAATTCCAAGAGAGCTAAGTTGCTTCGTAGCAAATTAATGAATTTTGTGCATGAGGCCCAGGCAGAGGAGGGAGAGGAAGGTTAAGGAGTTTAAGACTTTAAGGTCCAGTTATTGAATCAATAGTTCACCATGGATTAAGTAAACCATGATTAAATTTAATTCAAAGATTATTTCTTAAGAAGTTGTTCAATGCATGTTCACTTTCGGATTTATTAAACCTGATTACTGAAGCGGTGACAATGTTGCCAGTTATTAATTAACGTTTTGGAACAAATTTTACCATAAAAATTATAAAGATAAATGTGTTCTGTGTTATAAACATTGGTGTTCATATGCAAGGTTAGTAGATATTAAGCAGGTTGTCTCGTAACTATGTGGGCGAAGCGAGAGAAAGGCAGAATGCTTACGTCACTCATATGACAAAGTCAAATTTGACAGTTGATGGACAGTTGTCTGCACGTCTGAGTTTAAGTTCACGTTTGTTGTTGTCTTATGCCTTGTTGCATTTTTTCGTATTCGTATATTTTTTTGTGGAATTTTCCTATATTATCATTAGTTCGTTTATTTGTTTAGTTATTGTTTAGTTTTTAGTTTTAAGTATAGGTATAAGGACAATATTATTTATTGAGACTTATTATTTAGTTATTTGTGTACATAAACACTTGTGAAGTGTGTTTTCGTAGCCGTGATATCAAGATTTGTCTAACAATTATATGTAGTTTGGTACGTTATAATAATGAAATATTTTTTAGATGAAAGGCGGTAACATATGAAGCATAGCTATCTGTAATAGCAACTCAAAAATTCTTGATGCAGATGGAAACAAAATAATGCTTTTCATGTTTCCCAAAGACCCCAACGTTATCAAGCAATGGGTCATAAAATGTTGCCGGAAAGATCAGTGGGTCCCTAAAAACAAGAAAATATGTAGTAAACATTTCCTACCCTCAGATTATGAAGATGAACTGCAAACCCGTTTACTGAATTATCATCCAAAACAGTTAAAAAAAGATGGTAAATATACCTAAAATAAAATACCTACATATTATTATGTACAAACTAATTATTACAAGTTTTGTTTATTTACTTTATTCTTCTTCAGGTGCCATCTCTGCTACGGAGGTTGGCAATCATCATAGCTATTTTAATTTTTGAGGCAGTAGTTCTAAATAGTTGTCTTGAGCTGCATCCAAACCATTCTCTTAGGTTCTTCAGCCATGATATTCGTCTTCTTCCTATGCTTCTTCTGCCATCTATCTTTCATTGCATTATGAGTCGCAGGATGCCATACTTCTCACCCGCATCACATGTCCCAGATACTGTAGCTTTCTTTCTTTAATTGTAAGTTCAACTTCCTTCTCTTTACCTATTCTTCTCAGTACTTTATTGTTCGTAACTCTTATCTACCCAGGGAACCCTCGTACTTATTCTGCTTTAGTTCCACATTTCAAAGGCGTTAAGTTGTCTCATTGTCTCTAGATTTAACGTCAGATATTTCTTTTTCAATTCAATTTACTGTACTACATTTCCTTATTTGCATATATTATTTTATTATTATTTTTTAGCTATCCCATCATTATTTTTACCATTTAGTGGTAATAATGAAATTTCTGAAAGAGTTCAGCGAATGAATGAAAAAGAGCGAAAAGACATTATAAGTGATTTGTTGCAATCAAAAATATAAGAATAATACAGTACCTCCAGTATTCCTATTGTATTGTATGTATAGTGATACTCCAGCTCCACTAGAAATATTATCCAATCAAGATGCAGAACATGACGTTAGAGAAAGATAATTTGCATTATTAGAGCAAGAAAATAAAGACTTAAGAAAGAAACTCGTCTTATGCGAGAAGAATGAAGAACATTTATAATTTAAAATATCTAATTTAGAAGAGGAGATAATGAGATATAAGAATCAGCTGGAAGAAGAAATAAAAGTTGCTTTAAAAGATGTTTTGTCACCAAATCAGGTTGATATTGCCTTAAAAAAGAAAAAGAAAGCTAGTTGGACACAGGATGAACTTTTTAAAGCTTTTACCTTAAGATATTTTGGTAAAAGGTCGTATGTATACCTAAGGCAAGCCTTGCATTATCCTTTACCTGGTATATCTACCTTACAAAAATGGACTGCTAATATTAATTTACGGGATGGAACTTTGGGTGACATTTTGCATATTATGAAAATAGCTGGTAAAACTAAATCGAATCTTTTTAAAATGACAGTATTATGTTACGATGAAGTTAAAGTATCCTCCATGTACGAGTATAGCCAAAAAGGTGATGAAATTATTGGACCACACAAATATATGCAAGTAATAATGGCACGTGGTTTCTTTGAGAACTGGAAACAACCCATCTATATAGGTTTTGACCAAAAAGTCACTAAGGAGTTGCTGGAAAATTTAATTATTACTCTACATGAAATCCAGTAAAACGTTGTTGCTTGCACTTCTGAATGTGGTGGAAACCAAGGTTTATGGAAGGAAATGGGAGTAACCATGGATAACACATTTTCTACCCACCCCATAACAAAAAGCCGATATATTTTTTTGCTGAGGCCCCTTACCTGTTGAAGCTGCTACGCAATTGGTTCTTGGATACAGTATTTTTATTAAGCAATGGTACTCAAATTCGAAAGGACTGTATTAAACAATTAATTGACAGCAAAAGAACTGAAATTAGTTCTTGTTTTAAACTATCGTTACTACATATAGATGTTAAGAAAACTCAGAGACACAATGTTAAACTGGCTGCACAATTATTTTTTAATACTACAGCAACAGCTTTAAAAAGGTACCGGCCAGGTGTCGATAAAAAGAATACTGCTATGGTCGCAGAGTTTTTTGAAGAGGTGAAGAGGTGGTTTGACATGTTAAACCCATACTCACCATCAGTATCCGTGCCGTCAAAGAAGCCCTATGGCCAGGGGACACATTTACAAATGCAAGATGAAGTTAATTTAAAAAAAAAATCTTAACTGAATCTAATAGGTAAGTTTTTAATATATTAATTGTACTTACATGTTTCGTATACCTTCAAAATCATGTACATGTTCTTATTTATTTTGTATGTCATGTACAAATTTTATTGTATAAATTTTGATTTAATACATTTTTCCTTAGACAAAATATCAAAATACAGTGTTGAGTAATATGGCCAGGTGAAAAGTAGGGTTATATGGCCATGGCCATATTTATCTTACGTGGCCATATTAACCCATTAATGGCCAAAGAATCGGAAACTAAACATTTCTTTAATTATTTTTTTCTACGATTTTCATATGATGAATATTATAGTTTATGTATCGGTCTTTCATATAAATAGTTTATTCACGTGTTTGTTATTGTAATAGTCCATATTATGTGTTGTATAATTTTTGAAATAATAATCAAAACACTCCAAATTTACTAGAATCTGTCGGTGTCGTTTGAGCTCGCATAATATATCACAAGATATTAAAAATTCGACCAAACCAGCATTCTTTGTTCAATTAGAGATTATAGAATTATATTATCCAAACATAATTTGAAATCTGACTACTCATAAAATTTTATAACACCTTAAAGGTAATGTTTCGATTATGAAACTTTGGCGCGATCCGTGAATTTATTATCCATATTGGATAGTCTACTAATACAACATTTTTCAATCGTAGCTATTATTTCCAACTGTGTAGTGGTTTCTTTGGTATAATAACAGTGAGTCTACTCGTTAGTAGCTATTTTTTAGAATTTTGCAGTATTTTACCGTGAATCAAGATGTCTAGAGGGTCAAGATGTCTAAATCGTCAGAAACTATTCCTCTTCTCCAAAAGAAAATCAATATAATAAAAAGAAAGAAATAAAGCTAAGAGTTGCTAGGAAAACACCATTTGAAATATTCTCTTTGTTTTTTGACGATATTGTATTCCAGAAGATACTCGAGTTCAGCCTGAAGTATGCCCGGGACAACAACAGACATAATTTCAAACTCTCTCCAGCTCAACTGCAGAAGTTTTTTGGTGCTAACCGCTTATCATACACTTCCGGCGTGTGATATGTATTGGTCAAAAAACACAGATAAAGGCGTGGAGATCGTGAGAAAGTGCATGAGTCGAAACACCTTCCGAAACATAAAAAGAAGTCTTCATGTCTCCGATAATAATAACTTGGACAAAAATGATAAATTTACCAAGATACGTCCATTATTTTTGCTGATGAACGAACGATATTTGTAGTTCGGACTATTTGCCCATGATATGTCTATAGATGAACAAATGGTTCCTTATTTCGGCCGACATTCTGCAAAAATGTTTATGTAGGTTAAACCAGTGCGATTTGGCTTCAAAGTCTGGTGCTTGTGTAGCTCAGAGGAATATTTATACCAATCCATTCCTTATGGTGGCGCAAATCCAGAAAGGCAGAAGATTCAATACAGATTAGGGACGCAAGTAGTTTTGGATCTGCTACGTGTAATTAAAACCCTTCAGAACGTAGAGTTTTTTTCGACAACTTCTTTTCGAGTTATGCACTATTCCACATTCTAGGTGAAAAAGGAATTTTCTTTACTAGCACCGTGAGAGAGAATAGGTTACCAGGATGTCCTCTACAAAGTAGAAAAGTGCTTGGAAAGAAGAACAGGGGCGAGTTTGATCATGCTTTCGACAAAAAGGCAGAAATATCAGTTGCAATGTGGAACGATAATTCCGTTGTGACTGTAGCCAGCAATAATGGAGCGGTTTATCCAATTATTACAGTGAAAAGATATCATCGGAAGCTACGAAAGGAAGATTCAATACCTCAGCCCAATATGATTAACGAATATAACCGACATATGGGAGGTGTTGATCTGCTAGATAATTGGGTATCAAA